GCTTACAGTCCATGATGGGAATACATGATATCCCTGAGACAGGTCCTATACATGCCATTTGTCATTGATGGATCTCATAGACATGTGGAGATCTCAGCCAGTGATCTCAATGTTTTCCAGACCCAGACCAGCTAACTGTATGTTAGTCTGGATTTTACCAAGCTTACAGTCCATGATGGGAATACATGATATCCCTGGATATCCCTGAGACAGGTCCTATACATGCCATTTGTTATTGATGGATCTCATAGACATGCAGAGATCTCAGCCAGTGATCTCAATTTTAATCTGTTCAACCCATACATCATCTAAACAGCATGAACGGACTGTTTCTTTTAATGTTTTCTAGGAGGAATATTTACTAAAGTGAGAATTTAAAGTGAATTTAGAATTCAAGGCCAGAGTAAATGAAATGAGTCTTGTCTTTTGATGTTTGTCCTTAAACGGGATGACTGACATATGATAAATGCAGCGAAAGAAAACAAATGTTGGCTGCCATTGGCACATTTCTCCACAGTTTTTAATTGTTGTTGATCTGTAATAATTTAACTTTGTATTTCAGATCTCGGAAAGCACGGAGTGTTTGGAATTAGCGCAGTCTCGTGTTACCTGGTAATTACAAGATAGCTTCTGGGAAGCTGATGTAAGAATGTGTCAATGTTTCAATGGAATCACCTGAAGGTGCAGAGAGCAACAAGGATTCCTAGAATTTCTTAAATCTTCCTTTTCCTTTCCACTCACATAAGATGAAGAAACTGCTTTACATGTAATCCATACAGTATATGTGAGCCCTCCCTCATTCCTTTTTTTTTTTTTTATTGAGACATCAGGGTATATATAACAGAAATGAAGACATAAATTAGAGAAAAAGAGCAGTTATCTAACACATATAGCTTTTACATTCCAGAGAAGACTGTCTCATTTATACTAAACTAGCATGTCTAAACAGCTAACTTTACAATGCTATAAAAACTTGCATGGCGCGCCAAACTCAGATAATAGCGGGTTAGCAAGAGTAATCGGTGGCGTTGCAGTAGTCTTAGTAAAATGGTGGGCACCGCACTGATCCATTTAGTAGGGCAGAGATACGCTGTACACCAGTGGAGTATAACACAGTAGGCATAAAATGAAATAATAAGTAGTAGGCTACCCCTGGGACCTAAAGAACACAAGTGAAACATGTCACAAGCATTGTGATGTAATATGAACTACTTTACCCGTATTTTCTCCCGAAAGAGCTATTTCACTACCCCTTGCTCAGCGCTGTGTACCCTCCATTGTAGACACCCAAAAGCACCTCTATCCTGGCAGGTATTCTGTTACAGATAGATTGATCCCCAGTGGTACCTAGCACCTATTTTCGTGGAACTCTGGTTCGACCACGTCGCTGCCAATATCCGACCAACTTGCCCCAATGTTTTACACCACTTCCCAACCTGCCACGAGAGCGCTATTTGGAGGGGAGGTACTATGGACAACAAGGACCAATCGATCCATGGGAGTCCGGGTTTGGCTGCAGGAGCTCCCAATATTTGACCGACCAAAGTCTGCTATACTCTGGAACTCTTTTGGGCATGGACCATGTGTGTGGCCGGCCACAATTTTACCCCAGTGACGATATGTCGTCTCTTCGTTGATCCGGGCGCTATTTGGCCACCGTGGGCACTTGGATCAGAGCTGTGTGGTTTTATCATGTTTTTGGGGTGTTTTTGTGTTAAGCCCTCTGTGTCCAGGAGATAGCAGTAGCTTTGGCAGGCCACAGACTAGAAAGTGTGGCTCCAAAATTACACCAAAGGGCTCCCCAGCAGTCAGAATCAGGCGAGAAGTCGTTTGGTTATATCCTGGGGATGTCACTTTGCTTTAAGAGTGTGGATTACAGGAATTGTATGAGGAGCCCACACTAAACACATCTGTCGGCCATGATGGTTAGGCTTGCCCCCTCCTTTCATTAAAACCTTTTACCTGGTGACCATTGGGCCCCTCAACCGCGGGGAACCCCTAAATCCAGTATGTATTTTATCCACTGAGGATAATTTATTGATTAGCCGTAGCTCTTATTCTTGGACTTGATTCTTGTGTGGTCTACTGCCCAGGATACAATTTCAACAATTTTTTTTTATTATGCAACAGTTTTTAAGTATGCCCTTTTTATTGTATCACATTTATTTATTCATCTTAATTGTATGTAAATTTGCAGGCAATATTTTTTATTGTTTAGTTTTCATTATTTTTTTTATCAACAAATATGTTTTATTAGCTTTTTCATACATTGTGCATCAGGTCAATCTTTGTCATATCACACTTTATGTTGTGTTAACTATTGTATTAATTGACAGGTTAACCAGCACCATAATAACACCATAACCGCGTCATCTAAATCATGCATTCCCAATTTTGTTTGCTGGTGCTCCACATACGTCGAACCAGAGAACTGACCCCAGCCATTACATCCGCTCACGCTGTGAGTACCAGGCGATGCACAGAGAGCTTGAGCAATGCTCTGCCTTGAAAGGAGGCAACCAGGGTGGCAGTCAGTCAGCCTGGAATTACACCAGGGTTATTAATGACACAAATAGTGTCACTGACATGCCCCTTTAGACCCCCTCCACCCCCTGTCCTGATTTCATACCTCCCACCGTTGGGAGGTATGTCTCAATGAAGTGGTTGTGGTGGCAGGACTCCCCAGATGGATATGAGCTGCAGTGTCTGTGAATAGGGGCTGCAGTGTCCTCAGATAGGGGCTGTAGTGTCTGTGGATAGGAGCTGAAGTGTCAGTAGATAGGGGCTGTAGTGTCTGTGGATAGGGGCTGTAGTGTCTGTGGATAGGGGCTGTAGTGTCCTCGGATAGGAGCTGCAGTGTCTGTGGATAGGGGCTGCAGTGTCTGAGGATAGGGGCTGCAGTGTCCGCAGATAGGGGCTGTAGTGTCTGTGGATAGGAGCTGCAGTGTCTGTGGATAGGAGCTGCAGTGTCTGTGGATAGGGGCTGTAGTGTCTGTGGATAGGAGCTGCAGTGTCTGTGGATAGGAGCTGTAGTGTCTGTGGATAGGGGCTGCAGTGTCCTCGGATAAGGGCTGTAGTGTCTGTGGATAGGGGCTGCAGTGTCTTTGGATATGGGGCTGCAGTGTCTGTGGATAGGGGCTGTAGTATCTGTGGATAGGGGCTGCAGTGTCTGTGGATAGGAGCTGCAGTGTCTGTGGATAGGAGCTGCAGTGTGTCCTCGGATAGGGCTGTAGTGTGTCTGTGGACAGGGGCTGCAGTGTCTGTGGATAGGGGCTGCAGTGTCTGTGGATAGGAGCTGCAGTGTCTGTGGATAGGGGCTGTAGTGTCTGTGGATAGGAGCTGTAGTGTCTGTGGATAGGGGCTGCAGTGTCCTCGGATAGGAGCTGTAGTGTCTGTGGATAGGGGCTGCAGTGTCTGAGGATAGGGGCTGCAGTGTCTGTGGATAGGGGCTGCAGTGTCTGAGGATAGGGGCTGCAGTGTCCGCGGATAGGGGCTGTAGTGTCTGTGGATAGGAGCTGCAGTGTCCTCGGATAGGAGCTGCAGTATCCGCGGATAGGGGCTGTAGTGTCTGTGGATAGGGGCTGCAGTGTCTGGGGATAGGAGCTGTAGTGTCTGTGGATAGGAGCTGTAGTGTCCTCGGATAGGAGCTGTAGTGTCTGTGGATAGGGGCTGTAGTGTCTGTGGATAGGAGCTGTAGTGTCTGTGGATAGGGGCTGTAGTGTCTGTGGATAGGAGCTGTAGTGTCTGTGGATAGGGGCTGTAGTGTCTGTGGATAGGGGCTGTAGTGTCTGTGGATAGGAGCTGTAGTGTCTGTAGATAGGGGCTGTAGTGTCTGTGGATAGGGCCTGTAGTGTCTGTGGATAGGAGCTGTAGTGTCTGTGGATAGGAGCTGCAGTGTCTGGGGATAGGAGCTGTAGTGTCTGTGGATAGGGGCTGTAGTGTCTGTGGATAGCGGCTGTAGTGTCTGTGAATAGGGGCTGCAGTGTCTGTGGATAGGAGCTGTAGTGTCTGTGGATAGATGCTGTAGTGTCTGTGGATAGCGGCTGTAGTGTGCATGAGGAGGACAGGCACTGTAGTATTTGTGGTGATTGGGAAATAGGGGTGTAGTGTATGTGAGGGTGTGACAGTGGCTGTAATGTGTGTGTAGAGGGATATAGACTATAATATGTGTGTGGGGGGAATAGGGGTGTAATGTGTGTTTGGCAGGGGTGTAATTTCTTTGATTTTGGTAGTGACATGTAGTATGTGGTGAGGGAGATGAGGCTTTTAGTGTGTGGGGGGACAGGAGTGTAATGTGTGTGAATTTGGTAGGGGTGTAATTTCTGTGAGTTTGGTAGGGGTGTAATGTGTGTGAATTTGGTAGGGGTGTAATTTCTGTGAATTTGGTAGGGGTGTAATTTCTGTGATTTTGGCAGGAGTGCAATGTGTGTGAATTTGGTAGGGGTGTAATTTCTGTGAGTTTGGCAGGAGTGCAATGTGTGTGAATTTGGGAGGGGTGTAATTTCTGTGAGTTTGGTAGGGGTGTAATGTGTGTGAATTTGGTAGGGGTGTAATTTCTGTGATTTTGGTAGGGGTGTAATTTCTGTGAGTTTGGCAGGGGCTGTAGTATGTGGTGAGGGAGATGAGGCTTTTAGTGTGGGGGGGGGGGGTTTGAGAGTGACTTTAGCGATTGTGTGTGGGAAGTAGAGTCTGTTCTGTGTGTTTGTGGGGGATAAGTGAAGTTTACTCCTCTCACTCAGCGTGTGATTTGTATCTGAGAATTGCCATGGTAACCCATGTCAGTGGTCTGAAAGCCATACACATGGACCCCCTGGACCCCTGAATCCCCTTTGATCTCCTCTGTCAGCCTTGGCCCATGGCCATCGCAGCCCACCAGGCATTTGCCCGGTTACATAATGGCTATATTGTGATGTTATTTAACATTTAGGCCAAACCTTGCTGTTCCACCATTCTCTGTGAAACAAGGAGTCCCTTTAACTTGCTGCCCCGCCCCTTTCCCCGCCTCCTCGGCTGCAGCTATATAAAGCCCTGTCCTGTCCCTTCTCTTATAATACAGTCACTGACTCAATCTCTGGTCGTGGAGAGAACTCCCAGCTTCTCCTTTACAAATGGGCTCCGCTGCCTAGCGTCTAATCCACAGAGCCAGGCTCCTGAAAGTGCAACACGTCAGGGAACAGGTAAATATATGCAAATACCCCTCTATTCCCAAGGAAATCTATGACGTGGTGCTGGTCCCTACACTCTGAATTCTGCCAATGAGCCAGTCTAGACCACTTTATATTATTACACCAACATAGTCTGTAGCGTTGTACATTGGGGTTAGAAGAAAAAAAAAATCTAAATAAATTAAGGCAGAAGAAATAAAATAAGTGACTTGTTTATAACCTGGAGCCCTGTACACAGTATGGTATTGTATTTGTAGATTATACACCCTGTATACATTATATTATTGTATTCGTAGATCATGAACCATGTACACAGTATATTCTTGTATTCGTAGATCATGAACCATGTACACAGTATAGTATTGTATTCGTAGATCATGAACCATGTACACAGTATATTCTTGTATTTGTAGATCATGAACTCTGTACACAGTATATTCTTGTATTCGTAGATCATGAACCATGTACACAGTATATTTTTGTATTCGTAGATCATGGACCATGTACACAGTATAGTATTGTATTCGTAGATCATGGACCATGTACACAGTATAGTATTGTATTCGTAGATCATGGACCATGTACACAGTATAGTATTGTATTCGTAGATCATGGACCATGTACACAGTATATTTTTGTATTCGTAGATCATGAACCATGTACACAGTATATTTTTGTATTCGTAGATCATGGACCATGTACACAGTATAGTATTGTATTCGTAGATCATGGACCATGTACACAGTATAGTATTGTATTCGTAGATCATGGACCATGTACACAGTATAGTATTGTATTCGTAGATCATGGACCATGTACACAGTATATTTTTGTATTCGTAGATCATGAACCATGTACACAGTATATTTTTTGTATCCGTAGATCATGGACCATGTACACAGTATAGTATTGTATTCGTAGATCATGGACCATGTACACAGTATAGTATTGTATTCGTAGATCATGGACCATGTACACAGTATAGTATTGTATTCGTAGATCATGAACCATGTACACAGTATAGTATTGTATTCGTAGGTTACATACACAGTACATTGTATTTGTAGATTATACAGTGTAATTTTATTAATATATTACATGCTAATGATGATTAAATCTCTGTAACCTTTGTTGAATACAATGTTTTGTGATGGGTTAATAATCTTGCAACAATGTGGCAGTTTACTAACAAAGAGAGGTTCTGTAACAGGAAATCACAATGGGTGCAATGGGTGTGGGCAGGGCACTAAATACAGCTTATTTATTTTGTCTGCGTTAACCATAAAGGTGCTGGAGTTATAGCTTTCATTTCTTTTATCCATTGAAAGCTAATATTTACTACAGCCACAGTACTGGTCTCTGCAAACTCTGGTACCTCTCAGGTACTGCCTGTGAATATAGACTGTAAGCTCTGTGGGTCAGATTTTTACAATACCTCACTATGCTAAGTTAGAACAGACGCGCTCTCTCTAACTGTAGTAAAAGGTTTCTGGTTTTACTTCGGCAGATAACAAGTTCATTTTGGCAACGAGGGGGTTAATCGTGGCAGTCTCCCCCATTCTGGCAGCGAGGGGGTTAATCGTGGCAGTCTCCCCCATTCTGGCAGTGAGGGGGTTAATCGTGGAAGTGATGGGAGTAGTTAAAGCCACTCTTTTATGGTAGTGACAGGGAACCTTATTCGGATAAAGATCAGGATAATTGCTGGTTGAGATTCCATGCTCTCTATTTTTGGCAGTGCTGGGGTTAATTTTAGCTGTCCTCCTCTTGTTCTGTTGCTGGGGATTTTCTCCTGTTAGTCAGCCATGTGGAGGAGGGAGGGTGGAGGGGGAGGACTGCCTGGTGAGTTGCATCCAGTTTAAACCAGTTCTCTAAACCAAGCATCCAAATCCTGCCTCACCCTTTCATGTCTGAATCCTTCATGGAGACAGCGCATGGCTTGTAATGAGCACGCGTCATACAGGAATAGAATTATTATTATTATTATTATTATTATTATTATTCGCCATCACATTCTGTAGCGCTGTACAATGGGTGGACTAACAGACATGTAATTTTAACCAGACAATTGGACGTACAGGAACAGAGGTGGAGGGCCCTGCTCAATGAGCTTACATTCTAGAGAATTCACCTGGACACACGTGTTGCACGCCCTTGCATGCTGTGTATGAATTGCAGAATTTGTATGCTTGGTCCCCCTTTATCGATAATCTGAGCTGAATGATGACCCAGTAATCGACTAGGGGTCTAATTAAGACCCCTCTTCAATGTATAATATGCTAATATATATAATGTTCTTTTGACAGAAAAGGACATTTAAAGGCACAAAGCCCACTGTACCGCGATGCCGTAGGTCAGTGACATAGTGGGGTGCCGTACGGACATGCCGCAGTTGGCGTGCAGTATCGCCATGCACCGCACTGAGCTACGGATTCGCGTAGTCCGGGTACTTTGTTTGGTTTAGTTAAAGGATCACTCTTTGCCGAAGTGCTTTATGTCTATGGAAGATCCCATTTTTTAATCTAATTTATAAAAGTGTTGATTTGATTTTATCATTAGTATTTGAAACCTTTCTCTGCTTGTCAAACAGCCAGTGAGGTTTTCTTCCTACTCCTGCCAGCTCCCCTGAGCTCTATGTGAGCATGCCTGCCTTATTCACAGACCTGGGATCAGTGGCATCCTTCACAACTGTGGGTGCCGCGCATGCGCTCAGGGCACCGATTCCGAGGGATCGGTTATTTCCCCATAAAGATACTGAAAGGGCTTCATTGCTTGATAGGACAAGTTATTCACATCTAATATTATCATATCTACTTGGATACCAGCTACAGGTGGTCCTTCCACAGAGCACACGCTCAAAGCATCCTGCTAACACGCAGAGAACCTGTTTTAGAAGTACAAATATTTCAACACTGTGCCTGCTTGGCATGACTGCCTATATATACACAGACATGTACTGGCAAAACCCGGAGTGATTTCTGCAATGTGGAACAAGAAAAAATGTTGGCTTGAACATTTAAAGGCAAAGAAGTCTAATAGGAGCAGAGGGGGTGGGGACATCACCAATGCCATGCGTGGCTCCCAAAGTGGGAGAGCGTGCCCCTCTTGCGCAGCCCATGCACAGTCCTGCTGACAAACTCTTACATGGGGAAACTTACACAGTGAACGTCCATTAAATGGCATGCTTCCTTGGCATTTGCTGGTGACCTGTCTTGGATGTCTAAATGGGATATGCGGAAACAGGACAGGGTGCTGTGTGTATTTGGAGACTGCATGCGGGCTTGCAGCTGGGGAAGGGTGTTTTGTAGGGTGCATGGCGTGGAATATGGCTTGCTGTGTACACTGGGAGTTGGAATATGGCTTGCTGTGTACACTGGGAGGTGAATGGGGATTCTAATGAGGTCAAGGAACCCGAGCTGGCCAGTGATTTGATCCCCCACTAGCCCTGGAGCTTCCTCTCTCCCTCATAAATCTCCCCTATTGGCCCCAACCCATGGCTATAATGGCCCACCAAGTATCTATATAGCTTGCCCAATGACCAGGCCCATGTTCTCGAATTCCTGGTTTGTACACGTTCATGCAGGTTGGGAACACAAATCTCTCCCTCCTGCTGGTTTCTATAAATAATGACTTTTATTGACCTCGGAAGACTGAAAGACTTAGTTTACCTAAGTTCAGGCAGCATCGCTGCCGTCAGTGTTCAATATGCCATTAAAGATTTTTGTTTTTTGATACCTGGAGGGAGGAGTTGGAAAGTATGAGTAGGCAGAACTGGCCTAATTGGGACGGTTTGCAATTAAAGAACAAGAAAATCTTGTCCCTGGGTTTAATTGGCACTCCAAGCACCATAATCACTGCAGTCTTTTGTAATGGTTCATCATGCAGGAGAACTGGGAGTAATCTATCAGATCTTTTAAGAATGTTTCAACAACTTCCTCTCTGTGCCCTGACGCCCGTGCCGCAGCGGGAATCTCCTGCCTGATAGTATTTAATTGTCACTCAGTTAGTGAGAGCATTCTCACTGGAAGCAGGCAGAGGGTACCCAGGTAAGCTGTCAGTCTGTTCATAAAACAGTTTGACAACCAACACCATAACCACTACAGAAACCAGCTAAAACTCTCACCAGTGAGCGCAGCAGATATTGGCGCAGAAACGCTTAAGGAAGTTTCTCTTGGGAACCTCCGGCCCTCTCCGGTAGTGGAGGTGGGGGAATGGACTCCAGATAAGAAAACCATTCAAAAACGGTGACTCCTTGCAGTGGGTGACAGGCTGCCAGGGCCCTCCTTTCATGGCCAGCTACAGTTGTTAAGGTGCTTGGAGACCTCCTTCAAAATATTTTGACCATGTGGTACTATAGCCTTTATTGTTTTGTACCAATTACTGGTAACGGCCACGTTTCATGAAAAATCTACTAAATATAGTGAGATCCACTTGCAGAGCGTTTTAACTTGAGCTCTATGGCAGAGGTGCCCAAAACGTAGATCCCCAGATGTTATAGAACTACAACTCCCATGATTTGTGTGCCTTTAGAATGAAGGATCTGGGGATCTACCTTTTGGGGCCCCCTGCTCAATGGTGCTGTCCTTGGCTGAGACTCTTGCTGTTCTTGTCACGTGCCAACTAAATAGTCACAAATAACCATAAACACTGTCCTGTTGGGTTTTCGGTATCGATAGCTGTAAGATGCCGTATGGAGTCCAGCGAAACAAATCTACAGCTTTCAACAACGCTGAAAGTTAAATCATACTGAGCTTCTATTAAACTATAGAGGGGATTATTGGATACAGTAAGTGAGCATTCAATGCACAGCTATAGAGGGGGCTATCGGGTACAGTAAGTGAGCATTCAATGCACAGCTATAGAAGAGGGGCTATCGACAGTAAGCGATTGTTCAGCTATTTAACGCGACCAAGAGATGAGTTGGAGAATTTTTCTCAAACTTTTTATTTTCCCCCTGATTTGCAGTTGAAATTTCCATTCACCACCTTTTGCTGTTTAGTTTAAATCCCACAGGGTTTTAATGTCAGCTGGAGTCCCACGCTAACATTCAGAATCTCTTGTTTGTGCGCTGTGAGCATGGGGTGACAAGCAACCAATGTCACACAGCCCAGGCAGAAAGCCTTTTCTAGACTTTGGCCATGATCGTGTTCTGTGTTAATAATTAATCGTTATTTATAGCTAGAGTGTTACTTATTCTATCCCGGGCCGGGCTGAAATATGTTGGGGGACACTTGTCTTCTGTGGTTATAATAAACGAGATAATATATCTGAGTCAGCCTTGGCCATCATGGCTTCATTGTAACGGTTACTTATAATGATCACTGAGCATCATTGGGGAATGTATCTGAAGTGCCAAGGTGGAAAACGGATAACTTTTAGTTAATTGTTTGTTGGGATCTGACTTTCTGTTAAAGGAATGGGGTAACGTTCTCCGACACCTCCAACCTGCCCACTAATGGTCTGTGTTTAAATCTGCAGGGTAAAAAACATCATTCAAAAAGACCTGAGATCTGAAAATGGCATCCATTCCATCAAGTGGCTCGCTCGTAGCAACGCACGATTATTACAGAAGTGAGTATGTTCCCTCATCTGAAACTTCCTTAAACGCAAAGTATTAAACGAAAAAAAGGGATCAGCGCTCTCTATCTACACAAGTACACAACAGAAAAGATAAAATGTGGCAGCACACCTAAAAATAGGGCTCCTATTAATTGGAATAGAAAAATCCTGGAGTATCTGCATAAATGGCGTAACACGGAGTGTACACTCAACAGGTGGTATGGAAGCAACATGGGCAACACTTGGTTTACATGAAGTTTTTATTTTATTTTTTTTATTTTTTTCAGTATTGTCTTTCAGACTACTGAAAAGGAACATGTAATCTGAACATTGGCGTGATCTCCTACTGATCCAACGTTTAGCGTCTTCATGTAGAGTGTGAAGATGCCAAATGTTGATCCTGCAAAGAATGCAGGATCACAACGGGAAGCTCCTTTAGTGGCTGTCTGACAATTGTAAACACTGCTTTTTCAGAGAAATTCAGTCTTTATACTCGTTCCTCTCAGACTGCAGAGACGTGCTTTTTGCACCAGAACAAACGCATTCGATCTGGCGGTTAGTGTCCACTTGGAACTGGACAAATTCTATTGCTCTTCCAGTTCCACTGTCAATGAGACTATTGTCTATTAAATCCATGGTAATGTCTCAAACAAGCCTTTTCCCAAACAAACCAATATTGAGCAGTCTTGTACAGGTTTTTATATAGGGGTTGGGTGCAGTTCGGAAAGGGTTACTCCAAGCACCATGACCACTTCAGAAACAGTGTACATACAGAACGTTTTGAGCCGTATTACGAACCATGCTCCACCTTGTAACTAAGTAAATGTTTTTTTCTTTACAGGACGCCTGGGATCCACATCTAGTAACAGCTCATGTGGGAGTGTGGACTACCAAGGAGAAGTGATCCCTCACCACCCAGGTCAGTATCATGCCATGAGCTTAGTTGGGACAGAGAGTAACAGACCTAGTGAAAGAGCATCTCCCTCTAAAAAGATCTGTTTTAGGATTTGAGGGAAGTCTGAACATTGGCATGTAGAAGACAATCTCTCTGGGGAATTAGGTGTTGCTGTGATGGACGCTACTATGCCAGACTTTTGGAGAAGCTTGAATACCAGCCTCCTTTCCACAGATTATGGGCTTGGTCCCAAGGGCCCCTGAAAGTGGCTATTACCACTGGGGGGAGTTGTAGGGGGCACCAGACTATTACAGCCAGGCTTGAGGGCCTCTGAGGATCACCTGGACTTGTTTTACACCTCTAGCGCCTGACCTGGAGATATTCTGAAACTCTTCCTCAGATCAGGATTGTGCCACGGTCCAGTCAATATTTAAGAGGGTACCGCTTGGTCCCTCAACCTCCAAATAGAGTGCTGTTTAACTAGGAGGTCAAGGAGGCATTGGAGCTTAAAAGCACTTCCCTCAACATAAGTAGACCAGGACTAAGCCACTGCATGTCTGGAACTCCTCATCAGATCAGAGAATAGCTGAGACTCAGTAAAACTAACTCAGGTGCAGATTCTCCAATCAGGGTGATATTTGGACAGTGAGGGCTTTCCAGGGACATATATTGTGTGGGTACAATCCAGAAAACTGTGGTGGACATCTTGTGTGCTGTGCCTCTAGGAGCGTAGGGGGCAGGGAAGGGACAAATGTACTGTACATTGCTTTGTTTGGAGGAATCCCTGCAGGGAGAGTCAACACTGCTGTGTATAAAAGATAATTCTATCCATTCAGACTCTAATGTGTGGGGGAGAAACTATAGTCTCTGCTTTACAGGAGTTTGGAAGCTATAATCATGATAGCCTGGTCCAGTAGAACATTCACGTGTCCTTACTAGGAGGGACAGTCCCTATCTTACCCCGTTCATGGCCGCCACCCCCCTCCATCCCCAAAATTAAAGTAACTCTTGTTATTCATTTGACATGTTGAGAGGTTGGCAAATTACACAACAATCCAGTTCTATCCTGGCACATCCAGGGCACAGTTTGTATTGGTGGAGAAAATGAAACCATGCTTCTGTATCTCCTCCCTTCTCTGTCCTGTAGGTTGACTGACAGGGGACCAAGATGGAGGCCCTCTATTTCAGGATAGAAGCTAAATACAGCGGGTGGATTTCTACATCTTCACTTTTTAACATGTTTTTATTTATTTTGTTTTGACCTTGCAAACATTTATTAACCCCTTAAGGACCAAACTTCTGGAATAAAAGGGAATCATGACATGCCACACGTCATGTGTCCTTAAGGGGTTAAAGGGATACTGTAGTGCCAGGAATACGAAGCTGTATTCCTGGCACTACCGATCCCTCTGCCTCCCTGGTAAAGGGTTAAAAACCATTTATTTGCTTGCCTTATCCCAACGCTGATGTCCCTCATCGCTGGGTCGAAACTCCGCCCCCTCCTCCATCCTGCGATGAGCAGGGTCTAATACACATTAGACCTCCTGATAGGAAAGCATTGAATCAATTCTTTCCTATGGGGAGTGGGGAATTTGACGCTGGAGGTCCTCATGTGGAGCGTTAGGACGTCCAGCGTCAGATAACGGATCAAAAGTCTGTTACAATTCCGGAAGCTTTCTAGTGGCTCTGGTGGGCAGACTTAGAGCTGCAATGTAAACACTTCAGTTCTCTGGGACACAGCACCCAATGAGCTGAAGTGGTCTGGGTGCCTACAATGTCCCTTTAAACATAGGGGATAGGTAAACCTCATAAATCCTTAAACGTTGCCGTTCTCTTTTAGAGTGATGGTTTCCTGCCTGCTAATATAAAGCTAAAGGTTTTTCTTTTGAAATCGTGTGTGTGTGTGTATGTATGAGGATCTATCCTAGTCAAGCTAGGAAACATTAATCAGTCCTCTGAATCTGTCTTTCATAGGTCTTCCTAAGTCGGATCCTGGTCACTGGTGGGCCAGTTTCTTCTTCGGCAAATCCACTCATCCTGTCATGACGACTCTGTCTGAATTCCCAGAGAAGTGAGTATGTAGCCTACCTGTCACTTATTAGCAAGGACTCTGTATTTGGCAAGTGACTTCGTATCTTATGGAACTGGGGTGGGTAACCTTTGGCATTCCAGACGTTGTGGACCACTGTAGTGCTTAGATCCGTAATGCTAACAAAGCGTCAGGTGAAATGTGGTCCACAACATCTGGAGTGCAGAAGGTTGCCTACCCCTGCTGTAGAACATGCTTTAATGGAGTTAAAACCCTTCAATTTATGCCCCATCTGTGTCTGGACAGATCTACCTAGAAGACAATTCATCCAGATGTTGAGAATGCTACAAAGGGTACAAGGGTTGCATGATTGTAACAACGTGTATGATTATACCCAATATTATGTTCCTTTAATAATAAACTTTGTTTAGCATTTGTTCAATATACCCCCGATAAAGGGCTTTTCAAAACGAACTTTTTAAAACTCCCTATAGAATGCCATGACTGAAAACTGTTCACCCTCTAATGGGTGCAGGATAATGTACTAAATGTTGGCATGTGAACACTAATCCAACTCTCAATCAATCTCTACAGCTCAGGAACCTTTCATGTGACCAACGGCCTGATCCCTTGCGTCCTGCCTCAGGAGCCAGTGAGGAAGAACAATGTCAGTGAGAAAACTGACAACAGCGCCTCTGCTTGATTCCTCCATGCATTCCCCTCCTCACTAAGACGCTAGGTGGTGGAGCCCACCCTTTCCACCCCTCCTCCCACTCCCCCCCAGACTGCCCTGTTTGTAGTCATAGTCTTGTTAATTTTTTTTGTTTTTAATATAAAAATTTAAAATTGCCAAAAAAAAGCTTTTTACTACATCAGTAACACTGAAACGTTCTTAATTGTCTGCTATCCTGCCTTAAAGAGGCCTTGTCTTTATTTTGACATATGTTCTAATAAATCTGGGCAGTCGTTCATACTTGTTTTGTCTTTTATTATACAGATAAAAAAAGTGATACTCTAAGCACCAAAACAACTTTAGCTTAAAGGGAAACTCTAGGTATCCAGACAATGTCATCTCATTGAAGTGGTCTGAGTGCAGTGTCCCTGTCCCCTTAACACTGCACTCTAAAATATTGCAGTTTCAATGAAACTGCAATGCTTATATTGCAAGGTTAAGAAAGCCACTTGGGTCACTTCCTGCTGTTTCACAGAGTTTAACTTTGCATGAGGACCTCCAGGTTCTTAAAATCCTCCATTGGAAAGCATTCCTTAGTTTCATATATGCTGAGGGTTTTAGTGACAAGACATATTGCAGAGGTGACAATGGTCAACCAGCCGGGTTCCATTTCGGATATAAAATTGATCCGACAGACAATGCTGTGGGGCTATTATGTAGGGCCATGGTTACGGATTTTAGAGCTTCACAAAATCCATCCACATTGAGCTCTTATATAAATCAATGCAAGCAGTCAAATGACTACTACATTCAAGCACATGGAAAGGCAGCCATCCCACTGCTGAGTTTCCACTGCAGGTAAGTTAACCACTTGCATAGTGGCATCAGAGGACTGACACCCTCTCAAGACCCCATTTGGTCATAATGTACCACCCCTCTGTAAAATCTCTGATATTTGAGTGGCTAAAATTTTGGAATCTATATTCAGGAGGGAACTGGGTCTGTAGGAGGGAAAAAGGTTGGTACACCTAATGGCACACTTTCCTGGCTTTGGCCAGGTCAACAGAATGACTAACTATAAAGTATATCGCCAGATATTTAGAATATCGCCTCAGAAAGCCTTTGGACAAATCCTCCTTTAATAAGCTGAATACCCACAACCTACAGTGGCGAACAAAATTTGTTGTTCTCCAGCAGTGGACCCAAAGATCGGACAGTTTCTTTCCAAACAGTGCTGGAGGCTCAAGAAGGGACTTGATTTTTCCCTAGAAAATTGCCAGGACAAATATCTGGGTGTGTTGGGCCTACTTACAACAATGTTGGAAATGACTGAGACAGCCATTGCGATTAATCAGCCTGCAGGCCCCTGTGTTCTTAAAGGTTGGATCCAATGCGCTGTCTCTGCCAAGAGACAAAATATCCTGTTATTAAAAATAGTCTAAATTAGTGGTAATGGCTATTAAAGAACTAGTCATAAAAGCCAATGGATTGTTGTTTGGGGATATTCATAGAGCTTAGAAGAGCTCTACTGTATTCAGTGTGGATGGTGCAATCCACGCCTCGGAATATATAATCAGCAGGGATGATGCTACATCTGCAAAAAGCATAATGAAAGGTAAAAACAAATATAAACAATGGTACAGTATGTGTAAACAATAACTATACGGAAGGAAGGGTGGAAGTGTCCTTACATGAGGCTCTGGTGGTACAATCCCCACCTGGAATGTGTGAAACCAAATAAATTCAAAATAGAATCCGAAAGAAATTAAATTTAAAAGGATCAATCTAATTCCAATTATATCAAACAATAAACTGATAAAACAATAAAAAAAACAAAGTAGAAATAAGCTATGTAACCATGCCCAACGCATTTCACCTTTGGATTTCATAAAACGTTATCAGTTAACAGTAACACTGTTTGTTTATTTTTGTTTTTGAGATATTTGGCATTATACCATAGAAGGCCCTCTCTGATGGATATACGTATGTATCTGTGTTTATGTGAGGGTTAAACACTTTTTAGGTGCGGTTTATCATTTGTTTTGCTTTGATTCTCACCGTTAGTCCCTATATATTGCAAGTTCTGGGCATTTCTGACAGGTGGCTAAGTTCAGGATTATAAAGGGCTGTGGTTCTGGCAGTAATTCTGGTTCCTTGTTTTACTGTACTCAGCTGACCTCACTTTTTAGAGCACCTAATTAAATGTACCGTATCTCAGCAATCAGCACACAGTGTGCTTGGCACTGCACGTCTTTACACAAACATGTCCTGGCTTTATTGGCAGATTTATGCAGACTATACAAAAAAATCAGGTGCATTGTGTCTTTAAGACAAGAAAGCTATATCAATGTGCACACAAAAAATGTAACGTGCTATACATAACGTGCACTATTAAATAAAGTGCATAAACTAATCTGTGCAATATTTCACTTGTGCAAACATTCTTCTGCTAATTGTGACAGTAAAGTGCACACAGCAATTACCAACACTTACAATGTATATCTATCTTCTGTAGGTTCATATACTCGTGTTCTGTGTATTCACTCCATACAATACGCTTAAGGTAAGTGTATAAATGACCAGTGTACAAATATAGAGCAGTATACGGCTACTCAAAACTGTAATAGCTCCAAACCACTATCTCAGTGGGACCTAGGCAGGGATGCAGCAATAAAACTTCAAACTTTATTCAATCCATTGTACAGCGCTGCAGAATTTGTTGGCGCTATATAAATAATAATACATAAAACATTTACCCCGATTTACCCCTTCCACAGCACGTTCTGTTCACCAGGAAGACCCCCAAGAGACTTCTCTTCCGAACGCCGGCAATTTCACGTAGGCCCACTTCCAAGTCCTGAGAGTCGGGGCTTAACGTATTAAGTATACACTGACATAATACGATGATGTGATGATGCGTTTTGCCTTTAATGGCTTCCTCAGATCTTTCAATCTTGCCCGTCTCTGCCTATATAAATCCGACCCAAAGGGACATGAGTAATGAGTCCAGTCCGATCAGTCCCCTTGTTGGATACAGTTCAAACCTCTCTTGAATTGCACAGTCTGATCTTGTAATTGTTGCACATATCTTCAGAGGTGGGGCAAAAGAACTTACCAGTACTTCAGGGATAATCATACATAAAAACAACAAAACGCCAAAGTAAAATACTACAAAGAATAAACAGCATATGGGTAAAATGACAAATTAATAAATATAAAATCACAAGTAAATAAATATATTATTATTATTATTATTGCCATTTATATAGCGCCAACGGATTCCGTAGCGCTTTACAATATTTTGAGAGAGGGGGTGTAACAATAAATAGGACAATTACAAGAAAACTTACAGGAACAATAGGTTGAAGAGGACCCTGCTCAAACGAGCTTACAGACTATTGGAGGTGGGGTATTAGAAACATTAGGACAAAAAATATCAATTAGGAGTGAAGCAGAGCTGGAGGAGAGAGCAAAGCACTGTCCCATAGGAGAGAGCAGGAGACAGGTATGTAAGGTAGAGATTACTCTGGGAGGCCATAAGCTTTCCTGAAGAGATGGGTTTTAAGGCCCTTCTTAAATGATTGAAGACTAGGGGAGAGTCTGATGGCAGTAGGCAAGCTATTCCATAGGAGAGGAGCCGCCCGCGAGAGGTCCTGCAAGCGCGAGTTGGCCGTACGGGTGCGAGCAGCGGTCAGGAGGTGGTCACGGGCAGAGCGGAGGGTACGTGGAGGGGCATATTTATGGATCAATGAAGAGTTATAAGCGGGGCTAGAACTGTTCAGTGCTTTAAATGTATGGGTTAGCACTTTGAATTGACTCCTATAGCATACAGGGAGCCAATGTAAGGACCGGCAGAGGGGTGAGGTGTGAGAGGACCGACTAGAGAGGAAAATCAGTCTAGCTGCAGCATTCATTACAGACTGTAGCGGGGCAATACGGCTTTTGGGGAGACCAATCAGGAGAGGGTTACAGTAATCCATGCGGGAAATTACTAGAGCATGGACAAGCTCCTTGGTAGCATCTTGCGTAAGAAAGGGGCGAATGCGGGCTATGTTTTTGAGTTGGAACCTACAGGACTTGGCAACAAACTGGATGTGAGACTCGAAGGTGAGACCAGAGTCAAGTATGACGCCAAGACAGCGCGCTTGCAGGGATGGACTTATGTGGATATCACTGACTTGAAGGGAGAGCGAGAGAGGAGGATCAGTATTAGGAGGAGGAAAGACAAGGAGTTCAGTTTTAGAGAGGTTAAGTTTCAGAAAGCGTGAAGACATCCAGTCAGAGATGGAAGAAAGGCAAGCAGTGACACCTATTCAGGCTTGCCTTGACGTGGCAGGTGAGCTTATATATTCAAATGGCCATTGGAATAAAACTAAAGAGCCTCCATTTTGTTTAAATGTACATGGGGATTTAGGCCAAAGCGCAGGTAACGTTCTCTTTGTTTTTACTATGTATATAATCACGAATGCATGCATTTAAAAAAAAATTGCAACAAAAGGAAACAATACATGTAATGAAATCCAATACGCCATTAATTAGGTCCTTTGTTCCACTGTACTTGGCTGGTATCATTATACAAGCACCTAATTAATTGTTCCCTATCTCAGCACACAGTGTGCTTGGCTCTGCACGTTTTTACACAAACATGTACTGGCCAAACTAAATATCATATTCCGTTCGAGGGCATTGAAGGATAACAATAACAAAAAATAGCATGTACTACACAATTACTGGAATTACAGATACATTAACCAGTATAAAACGCTGACTAAAAATGGCTATAAAATGGTTCTTTATTGGCCTAGTAGATTATTCACCGTGTGTGTTAATTTGCCTGAAATTCAGGAACTCTCTCGATTTTCTGACAATTCACACTTGAATAACCATAAGTGAGTTATAGCTGTTAATGTGAATGTTTATTCACTAAACAATTGAAACCTCATGGCCATTTAGCCGTGTAATCCCCCTAAGACTTCGGACAGTCAGTCACCCAGCTGTGTAACCCCCTAAAACTTCGTACAGTCAGTCACTGAGCCGTGTAACACCCTAAAACTTCAGACAGTCAATCACCCAGCCAAGTAACCCCCTAAAACTTCGTACAGTCAGTCACTGAGCCGTGTAACCCCCTAAAACTTCGGACAGTCAGTCACTCAGCCGTGTAACCCCATAAGACTAAGGATAATCAGTCACTCAGCCGTGTAACCCCCTAAAACTTTGTACAATCATATCACCCAGCTGTGTAACCCCCTAAAACTTTGTACAATCATATCACCCAGCTGTGTAACCCCCTAAAACTTCGGACAGTCAGTTACCCAGCCGTGTAACCCCC